GCTTTAGTAGTGTATATTTTGTGACCTTGTGTGATATATATTAAGGTTATTGTGACCTTGTATGTGATAGCTATATAGATTAGTGTATATTATTGTGGCCTTGTGTGATATATATAGTAGTGTTTATTATTGTGGCCTTGTGTGATATATATAGTAGTGTTTATTATTGTGGCCTTGTGTGATATATATAGTAGTGTATATTATTGTGGCCTTGTGTGATATATATAGTAGTGTTTATTATTGTGGCCTTGTGTGATATATATAGTAGTGTATATTGTTGTGACCTTGTGTGATATATATAGTAGTGTATATTGTTGTGACCTTGTGTGATATATACGTAGTGTATATTGGTGTGACCTTGTGTGATATATATAGTAGTGTATATTGTTGTGACCTTGTGTGATATATATAGTAGTGTATATTGTTGTGACCTTGTGTGATATATATAGTAGTGTATATTGTTGTGACCTTGTGTGATATATATAGTAGTGTATATTGTGACCTTGTGTGATATATATAGTAGTGTATATTGGTGTGACCTTGTGTGATATATATAGTAGTGTATATTATTGTGACCTTGTGTGCTATATATAGTAGTGTATATTGTTGTGACCTTGTGTGCTATATATAGTAGTGTATATTGTGACCTTGTGTGATATATATAGTAGTGTATATTGGTGTGACCTTGTGTGATATATATAGTAGTGTATATTATTGTGACCTTGTGTGATATATATAGTAGTGTATATTGTAGTGACCTTGTGTGATATATATAGTAGTGTATATTATTGTGACCTTGTGTGATATATATAGTAGTGTATATTGTTGTGACCTTGTGTGCCAGAGACTCAAAGATTCCCCAGAAGAGTTTGCGTGACAGATGCAGCTCCTCCTCTGACGACACCCCAAAGTTGGCCCAACCGTTAGGCAGGCAGTAGTACTTCCAACAACGCTCATAGTGATTGGTCAGGAGCTTCAGAGGCATCTTAGCAAACTCGTTGAGGATTGGCACGTCAAACACCAGCTTCCTCAGCAGATGCTGCAGCATGGAAGGTCGAAGGTACCTGAGAGGGCAGAGGTCAAAGTAAAGTAAAATGTAGTAATAGTATATTATTAGTAAAGTGAAAGTTTAATCCACTGATGTGCCAGAGGGTTGTGGTTTTGGCATACTTGACGAGGGACATGAGGCACTCCTCGATAACGTCTCTCTGAGCCTTGGTGAGGGCTCGACCGCGGGACAGCCTATAGATGGTGTGCAACATGGAGTCAATCATGATGGCGCGGTGGTCGGTGCCCGCGAACAGGGGGGCACACTTGGTGATGAGGGGCAGCACAGCGGAACACAGGTAGCGGTTCAGTGCCAGGGCCATCTCTGTGGTGCTGAATGCCAGCTAGGGGGAGACGGACAGACAGACAGATAGACAGACAAAGAGGGAGCGATGTTATTCACATTCTTTAGCCTAGTATTATTTTAGGATCCAAGACAATAGAGACATGGATCCAAGACATTAGAGACATGGATCCAAGACATTAGAGACATGGATCCAAGACAATAGAGACATGGATCCAAGACATTAGAGACATGGATCCAGGACAATAGAGACATGGATCCAAGACATTAGAGACATGGATCCAAGACATTAGAGACATGGATCCAAGACATTAGAGACATGGATCCAAGACAATAGAGGCATGGATCCAAGACAAGAGACATGGATCCAAGACATTAGAGACATGGATCCAAGACATTAGAGACATGGATCCAAGACATTAGAGACATGGATCCAAGACAATAGAGACATGGATCCAGGACAATAGAGACATGGATCCAAGACATTAGAGACATGGATCATGGTGCTTGCCTATGGAGCAGTGAGAGGAACGGCACCTCTGTACCTTCAGGCTCTGATCAGTCCCTACACCCAAACGAGGACATTGCGTTCATCCACCTCTGGCCTGCTGGCTCCCCTTCCTCTGCGGAAGCATAGCTCCCGCTCAGCCCAGTCAAAACTGTTCGCTGCTCTGGCACCCCAATGGTGGAACAAGCTCCCTCACGACGCCAGGACAGCGGAGTCACTCACCACCTTCCGGAGACATTTGAAACCCCACCTCTTTAAGGAATACCTGGGATAGGATAAAGTATTCCTTCTAACCCCCCCCCCCAAATTGTAAAGTGGTTATCCCACTGGCTATAGGGTGAACGCACCAATTTGTGAGTCGCTCTGGCTAAGAGCGTCTGCTAAATGACGTTAATGTGCCCTTGAGCAAGGCACTTAACCCTAATTGCTCCTGTAAGTCGCTCTGGTTAAGAGCGTCTGCTAAATGACTAAAATGTAAAATGTAAATGGATCCAAGACAATAGAGGCATGGATCCAAGGCATTAGAG